GACTGGCAAATATTCGTTAAAATTTAGAAGGACTGGCAAATATTCGTTAAATTTAGTAAGCAAAGTTAAGGACTAGCAAATATTTGTTAAAATTTAGTAAGCAAAGTTAAGGACTGGCAAATATTCGATAAAATTCGTATTGCGAAGTTTATTGAATGGCGAAGTTGACTTTCATTTCACTTTCATTTAAACTCAAAAGAAATTTTTTTTCAATTAATTAGTTTACAGGGTTATTCATTCTTATATCTATTCATTTTTATATGCGCCTTTATTCATTCTTGTATGCGCATTTATTCATTCTTATATGCGCATTTATTCATTCTTATATGCGCGTCTATTCATTTTTATATGCGCCTTTATTCATTTTTATATGCGCCTTTATTCATTCTTATATGCGTTTTACAAAAGCAATTGCAAAAAAGCAATTTGAACAAAAAAAAATTATTTAAGCAATTTGTTTTGAAAAAACAATTTATTTTTTCAAAACAAACTTTTCTTATTTCCAGGTAAACGAGGTTAAAAATACTTAAAACGAAAGCTTTTTACATTTACGATGGTTTATTTAATTTAGTATTAGTTCTTTGTTTTCGATGATAGTTTGTTTAATTTAGTATTAGTTCTTTGTAATTTTATTATTAAATTTCTTGATTGATTAAGTTATTATTTATCTAATTATTCATTTATCTAGATTTAAATTTAATTATTTATAATTATTATTGTTATCAAATTATACATCCCTATGGATGGAATAGAAAATAGCAGTACCAATCGTAAAACAAGTTACAAAAGAGCACATTGAAATTCTTAAACATTTAATTGAAAGAAATCAATCTACAACAAGCATTTCCACTTCTTTTAATTATTCGAAGCGCACAGTTCTAAATTTTGTCGTTAAGTTAAACAGAGGATAATTCGACGACATGACTGCATTCAAGTCGTTTTCTAATAAACGAGGTAAAAGACCTATAAACTCTCAAATAAAAAATATTATCGAATTATGCGTACAAGAAAACAATCTTTGCACGCAAGAAGCAATAAAAAAAAAATCATTCTGCAGCAGGCTTCAACATGTCTCAGCCTACTATTTCAAGAAAACTCAAACGCTCGGATTTATCAAGAAAACGTGTTGTGCGTGTGCCGAAAAACGAAATGCAACACCAGTTTTTAATGCACGCTATGCATTTGCAAGCGAAATAAACGGAACTTCAGGTGAAACACTTATTTATAAGGATGAAACTGGATTTAATGTGCACACTAACAGCACATATGGTTGTTTCCATCGTAAATGTAAAAAGCCTTCGTTTTAAGTATTTTTAACCTCGTTTACCTGGAAATAAGAAAAACTTGTTTTGAAAAAATAATCTGTTTTTTCAAAACAAATTGCTTAAATAATTTTTTTTTTGTTCAAATTGCTTTTTTACAATTGCTTTTGTAAAACGCATATAAGAATGAATAAAGGCGCATATAAAAATGAATAAATGCGCTTATAAGAATGAATGAAGGCGCATATAAAAATGAATAAATGCGAATATAAGAATGAATAAAGGCGCATATAAAAATGAATAAATGCGCATATAAGAATGAATAAAGGTGCATATAAAAATGAATAAATGCGCATATAAGAATGAATAAAGACGCATATAAAAATGAATAAACGCGCATATAAGAATGAATAACCCTGTAAGAATAATAATTGTAAAATGCATCAATGATTTATGTATATCAACCTTTGCTAGTCAATCGTTTATGTATATCAACCTTGCTTGTCAAGCTTCGTGTTTTGGAGTTAAAGCAATCAACAGTGAGTAATTTAAAACTATATAATGACAATTTAAATATAAACGAAATTTCTTTAGAGCGTAAGTCACTTTCAACTATTAGTCTACTACAACAGTCAGCTTTCCATAAAATACCATGCTGTTATACCAATGCTACATCCCTTAACAATAAAATGCAAGAGTTTCTAGCATCAATTGAGACATACAAGCTTAAAATAATCTTCGTTACAGAAACTTGGTGGCATGAATCATCGATAAGTAATATTGAAAACTATATGTTATTCAGAAAAGATCGCGTGTCCAGTAGAGGAGGTGGGGTGGCTATTTATGTCGACAGTTCATTGAAACCTAATGAAGTAAGTGAAATTGTTTTATTAGATTCCTCTGAACAAATTTGATGCGAAATATCGCATGGTTCTGAACACATCCTTCTGGGTTGCATATACAGGCCACACATGCTAGATCCACTCGAGAATATTGAAGCGTCAATTATTAAAGCAAATGAACTTCTGTCTAATATATACGGCAGCTTGTTGATTTGTGGAGACTTTAATTTGCCAGGGATTAACTGGGATTCGAGCAGTATCCCAACTGTCAGCAACACAGATGCCCTTTCAAGTAATTTTATTGACACCCTCGCCGAGTCGTTTTTGATACAATTTGTTACTAAGCCCGCTTTTTAACTTGATAAAATCACTTCGAACAACACTCTTAATCTAATTATAGCCGAAAATGAAAATCGGGTCTTTGATATTATTTACCATGCACCTTTAACGTATCTGAAGAAATCTCACCACGTCCTTCAATGGGATTACGTTGTTAAAAGCGCTGCAGTTGTAGGGAAACACATTGAAAAAATAATTCGGATACCTTTGCAAAGTTACTTTTTTTCATAAAAGTAACTTTGCAAAGATATCCAAATATTTTAACAATATCAACTGGCAGATGGAATTTAATGGACGCAATACTGATGACTGTTATAACATTTTCCTGAACCGCTACGAGGCTGCATGCAAAACTTATGTCCCAATGACTAACTCAAAATGGATTCGTCGTAGAGGCGAATGGATGAATGATAACATCAAGAATAAAATAAAAGCTTAAAATAAACTGTGGTGTCGATGTAGAGCGAATGGATATGAAAATCTTAAACTAGTCAACAAATACAAAGCGTATAATATTCAATTAAAGAAGCTCATATATAAAGCTCGTTGTGAGTTTGAACTTGATTTAGCGATAAAATTGAAGCACAACCCAAAGATCCTGTTCAAGTATGTTAATAGCAAACAAGATGTTAGAACTACAATAACAGCCTTAAAAGGAATCAATGGCGAAACTATCACAAATCCAATAGAAATTGCAAATCGGCTGAACAATCACTTTCAAAGTGTTTTCAACAAAAATACTGAAGAACTGTTCTGACAGCTTCTCAATACCTTTAAGCGCAATTTTTCAGAGGTCGCTAGATAGTGGATGTTGTCTATCACATTTAATGTTGGCTGCTTGTTCTAAGCGATTATAAAGTGACAACCTTTTGACTGGGCACATAGTTGCGTTATCAGCAAGTAGAACAACTTCAGAGGTAAAATTATTAGTAATAAGATAAAAATTGATGAGAAACAACACGGGATTGTTTTCCAAACTTTCCCAGACACACCCTATAAATAGAGCTAATGGAGAAGGCTAGCATTTCAAAGTTTATTTTTGCTACATGTCTTCGATCTAAAACGCAACAGAAACGTTTTGTTACTATGGTAACAAACCAGTAGTAGAATAAGAGGATCAAAAAGATTTTCAGAGTAAATAATTCAAAATATCAGAAGTTTGTTAAAGAATTAAAGACTTTGCAAGTAAGAAGACTGATATGTCGATAGTTACGAAATAAAAAGTTGGAATTTCCTCGATTGAAGGATTTATTTTGTTATACAGAGGAGCAAAGAAAAGCACATTTGCGACATTGTGGTAAATAATTTCCTTTATGTATAGAAATAGAATATTGTTTGAAAATAACTGTTTTACTTAATTTTATCAATAATTTCAGGTAAAATAAGTACATTGATTAAGCATGCATGGGTATAATATTGCCAGAGACACTTCTACCTTCTGATAAAGCTGCTTACTAACCGTGGCCAGAGGTTACTTGTCCAAGAAATATATTAAAAAAAGTAATTTAAGTTTGTTTTTATAGAATGTAATCAAACCTTTTTAATGAAAGTTTTGATCGAAACTTTTATCTCAAAAAGATATTTAGCATACTATCTTAAGCATTTACTTGTTAAATAACTAACCACCCTTTTTTTAAGACCTTTGTGTTATTAAAAGAGTTGTTCAGCACAGTTACATCGAAACGCACTTTTTAAAAATGACGCAAAGGGTGTTCTCCTGTTGCGAATCATGGGGCATTTTTTACATGATCTATAGGGGAGACCGGGTCCAGTTGCTTCTGTTTTTACTCTGCTAGCCCTAACGGCAAAATTTTTTGTAAATATTAAAGCGCAGTATTAAAAAGTACGATTTTAGTTAACATTTTTAACTTGCATTCATTATCAAAAAAAAATTCTTAGGGCCTCAAAAAAATAAAAAAAAATAAAAATGTTAGTCAAATTGGCGCAAACTATAAAAACGATTATTAATGCACAAAAGTTTTAAGTGCAAAATTTATTGAAATTTGTTTACTATTTATTTCGCGACAGTTTTAAGCTAAAAATGTAATATCACTTTTAGCTGGTAACAAATATTTGTAAAAATCCAGGAGTGATTTGTGATTTGGATGTCTAACAACATATTAACTTGTTTCTCCAAGATAACAGGATGAATGTGGTTATTAGGCAAATTAAAGGAAACGTTTTCTGGAAATAGTTGCAAATATAAATTATTTTTGGGAAAGGTAATGGGATCAATAAAATCCGATCCACGTAATATGTTAAAATGCTTCTGTTAATAACGCTATAAAAAATTTTCCTAAAATTTTTAGAACCTAAAATCAAAGATGAAAATTTAGTAATTTGAGAATAAAGGACCTTGACATTAGATAGCATCTTTTTGCATCAATTTTTTGCAATGATAAAAAAAAGTTTCATCTCTAACAAAAAACGTCAATGTTTAACTAAAAACCAGAAAACATAAAAACAAAGTTTAGTTGTTAATTATTTATTATTAATAATTAATGAATATTATATTATTATTATTAAATATGGTAAAACAAATAAAAACCATTTGTCGTAGGGCAATAAAAACACACCTTATATTAACTATTAAGTCAGAATATGTGTTTTGTCACCCAGGTTTAATTTATCAGCGCGTAGTCTATAATTTTTAACTTGATCATAAGTCCAAACATAAAAATAGTAAAGAAAACAGTTTTAGAAGCGCGAAAATTTCTAGCAACGCCGCAATATTGGGGCAATTCATCATCCGGGTTTGTTTCGCTATAACATTTTCCAGGCATTATTCGATATGGTTCCTCTTGCGTGCAAAAATCATCTGATTGGTCAATATCTTCTACTAAAGATATATTTTTCCTACAACTACGTTCATCTGGCTGATTTGCTACTATAAATATTAAATTTGTGTTAGGTATTGGAGATAAAACATATAGCTGCGATTTAGATTTAGTGCATTGGACAATACGTAGAGTAAACTGACTTCTTTTACTTTTTTTCCCTAGTTCTTCTCGGTTAAGTAATTCATCCCATTTGTTACTCTGGAATAAATAAAAGGACAGCCTCTTAGAGCAAGTTATGTTAATAAAGTTATCGGGGTTCAATGAATCCCCAAGCGGTATTCGGATTACGGAGAATGCAAGCATTATGAAATGATACATTAACGATAACATAGAGCATAACAACCACGAGCATAGTTTAAACAATAGTATAGCAGGATTCAGTAAATGATCTGCATTAGAATTATAAGTTTTTTCTTCAAGACAAACAGCTTGACTATCTTTTAAAGTAACCTTTTTAAATACAGAAATATCAGGGCTTGAAAAATGTTCCATAAGTTGTCCTTGTATTTCGCCTAAAAAGCGTCCAATTAATTCACCACCCTGATTACTAACGACTATATAACCATTTTGATCAACGACAGCGCATACAAACGTGTTATTATTTTTGCAATCGTCCTTCAATCCGATTGATAGTGTCATATTATCAAATATCTCTTTTATCAAACCTGAGTTCATCTCTGTGCCGGTAACTAAAATACATAAAAGTGCTAAATAACGTGTAAAATTTACATATATTATACATTTTTGTATATACATATACTTGTCTATTATATAAATTTTTATACTTATTCGCGTATATTTGTATATGTATTTACAAATACTTTTAATTAGCTAATTTGCCTCTATCTGATGCATTTACTTATGATATATACTAAAAATATATTGAAATATATTTTTATAAAACAAACCTGCCATTAATATTTTATTGCCATCACGTTCAATCCAAGATGAAGCTTTTACTTTAAGAAAGACAACCTCATCATTAAATACTTCACGGATCGGGACAGAAACTAAAATATTAAATAAAGGCATAGCTAACGCTTGTTCAAATAGTTCAGTGCGAAGAGTGTCACGTGGAGGAACGCCAGTAATATTTAATCCAAAGTATCTAAAACAAATTAAAATTATTACCATTACTAAAGTAAAAAATAAAACGAAGTAAAAAATATTTAAAAAAGTAGAAATGGCTCAAGCTAGTTCGAATAAAGCTGCCATTTTGGAGAAGTCTTCATAGTTCGAATAAAGCTGCCATTTTGGAGAAGTCTTCATAGTTTTACTTTATATTGAAATATTCGTGTATTATGGTTAAATAAACTAAGCAGTTCTTATTTAATTAACATCAGAAAACTTAAAAAAATTGTGAGAAATAAAGATTCAGAAGGAAAGTTTGATCTAAAGTTAAAACAATAAATTTAAACATTGACATCAAAACTTGATAATTAGGTGAAATAAAAAAAAAGTATTAAAAAAAAGTAAAAAAAAAAAAGAAAAGTAAAATATACAGTATGACATTAAAAAAATGAAATTTGTAATCTTGATAAGTAATAAAAAGTTTTGAGTTAAGAATCATTATTTGTCAGTCAAATAAGAGTATTTGAAACATTTCTCTTTATATCTTTTTTTACTCTCTTCATTCTTAATTATCTTATTATATTTGATTAATAAACTATTAGAAATTTTTATTTTGAGGTATGCATAATATAGTCTGGTATGTTGTATAATGCTTCTAATATATATGTTTAAAGTATCATGCATACTAGGATGGTTCTTAAAACATTTGAATTGGTTCTTAAAACATTCTGCTACCATCTTCTTAATACTTTTTGTTTATTAAAACACTGAATTTCAGATATAAGCTTTTTTTAAATCATTTTTTAGTTAAAATGATAATTAAGTATTTTATCTGTTTTTATCAAGACAATTTAAATACAAAATTAATTTGAAATACTTTATACAACTTTGCATCTTTTAAGACCCATGTTAACATGTTTTGAAATATTTTTTTTTGACAATATTAAGGACCTGACAAATATTCATTTGTTTTGAGAAACCCTTAAAAATAATTTTGAAAAAACAAAAAATGGGGAGAAATAAAGAGTTAAAACAAAAAAATCAAACAAATAAACTTTTATAGATAGAGACGATGATATCCTTTCTTTTTAATTTTTTTTTCTTTCTAAAAAATCATGCTACATAACAAAGCTAGGGTTTTGACCATAACAACTTAGAGATCTAAAAAATGTCCCTTCAAAAATTCACATAATATCTCATAATGTCCCTTTTTCAAGTTAGCGATTTGTATGTTATCAATACCTATGTTGTAAAGTATTCTCTGTAATAGGAGGGAATTCGAAAATTCACATTCACATAATGTCCCTTTTTCAAGTTAGCGATTTGTATGTTATCAATACTTATGTTGTAAAGTATTCTCTGTAATAAAAGGAGGGAAGTATGTACCCTTATATGTACCCTTATCATAACTTATTAATACCTCTACATGTTTAAAAAAATATATATTAAAACATAGAAAGTATAAGATTATAATATAACATTAAATAAAAATAAAATATTTTTTTTTGGACTTAAGGTTTTTTGCAAAAAGTGAAAGGTTTTCCAGACATTACTTTTCCTACTTACCTATTGTTCATTCTATTGAATTAATTGCAAGCAATATATCAATTATAACAAAATTTATGTTTTATAATTAACTTTGTTGCAATTGTTACACACTGAAGGTTTTTTTTGGTGTAAGACTTTCCCTGACTCTTTGTCCTATACCCTTTCTAAATGAGATAAAATGTTGAGAACTGTTTGAAATACTCCTGTTTAACCAAAAATTTTTGTTTTTTAGACTTCTACAAGACAAAAAGCTTCTTTAAAAAGATAAAGCTTCTTGGAATAAGAACTTTACACAAACAAAATCTATATATACCTAGTATATCCTCCAGCAGTTCCAACATACACAGATTGAAAATCTGGATCTTCCAATTGTTTTTCATCTAAAAATGATGCCCATGACTGATTAATACGCAAAAAAGCAAAACCAGCTGTAACCAGCAATGAAGAAACCAAAATTTCATCACAATCTTCAGTTATATTATCTATACTTCCATAATTTAACAAAAATTCATAAACTTCTTTTGCTTTAGGATAGACCTTTATATCATTGGTGGTTTTATTTACATCAGCGGATGTTATATTACAATACAACCAATTCGGTATGTCAACGTAAGTGGGTTGTGCAGGGGTAGTAGCATTTTCAGTAAAATTTTCAGATTCATAAATGTAAAGAGCAACCAATCCGCTTTCATACATACTATTGCTAACGTTTCTGTCCAACTGAAAAAATGTTCTATCAACATCACTTAATGCAAAAGATGAAAAAAGTAAAGTGTTATTGACAGGATTGAAATAATAAGTCAGATTATTTTCTGCAAGTTTACGGTTGTTATCATACAGCCAATATGTCATTAAGTTAACAGAACCATTTTCTCCGTTGATCATGCGCGACTTTAAAGTAATTGAATCATTTGGATTTTGACTGTATTCTAAATCTTCAAAATAGACATTCCCAGGAGGGGTAAGATAACCTCCTTGTTCTTTAAACTTTGGATGAGAAACTATAAAACCATTGCTATTTATAACCAATGTGTGGCTAAAATAACCTAATGAATTACTTTGAACTAGTTGTTTCACAGCACGACTTAGCATATCAACTCCAACAACACCAGAATAATTTCCATCACTAAAAATACCTAATGATATTGTTAAAACCATTCCAGCTCCTGCACTATCTAAGTATAGAGGAGATATTTTTGGTTTTACTTCCTCTCTTGAATTTGCAATAGACCTGCTTAGTACATTTAGATATTCCGGGACAGTATCCCAAATATTATTGAGGGTTTCTATTTGATAAAAATAACCTCGATTATTACAAGACATCTCTTTAAGAGCTTGATTATTTGGATTTTTTACTCTTCCAACACGATATGAAAATACACGTACTTTTTTATCTTTATTCATTTTATCAAAAATATCTTTCGCTGCAGATTTATAATCCCCTTCTATTCCTTCACTTATCACCATAATTAGTTTGTTACAACCAGAAGTGTAAGTGCGATTAAAGTTAGTATCTATAAATAAGATAAGGTGTAAATTCATAAAAATTTACATAAACTTACACAAGTTTATGTAAATTTTATAAAAATTTACATAAACTTAAACTTTATAAAAATTTGCATAAACTTACACAAAAAAACAAAAACATTATTTATAACTTAAAAGTTAATTTAAGACAACGCTCTAAGTTAATAAGTTTCTGAAGATAAATTTTATTGGGTATTTGAAAAAGTGAAACAACATCCCATTTATTAAAATATCAATAATATTTTGTAACAAGAAGGACAAAAATAATTTTCAAATGTTTTTTAGTTTTTATGTTTATTGTTGTGTAGGGGAGAGTGGGGTTGGTTGCCACACTTTTTATGTTTTTGATTGCTCATATTTTATTTTTAATTAAGTCAAAGCCAATTTTTGCTCGATGATATTATGACATTAAATTGAATATATTTTGTTTTAAAATCAGTTTTCAAAAACCTCTGCTGTGTGACAACCCTTACTCTGCTATATGACAACCCTAACTCTGCTATGTGACAACCCCAACAATGGGGTTAAATGTCACAGAGTGTGGGGTTGATTGTTACATTTCTTGGTATGTTTGGACTATAAGAAGTTAATGCAAATTTAAGTACAACTTAATTTTGTTAGTATAATTCTGAGACTAGAGTTTTTCAGACTATTTTAAAAAAGATTTTTTTTTAATGATTTCACCTCTCTAAAGTCGAGGCCACTCATCGAGACTGAGGCCACTATAGTCGAGGCCGAGGCCACTATAGTCAAGAAGACTACTTATTGTGGTTACAACCCTCTCTCAACTCAACAAAATACAAAACTTGACAAATAAGGTCGATGCGAGGAGAAACAAGTTGAGCGTGATACTTCCAGAGACATGGAATAATCTTAATCTTGAACTAATCTTAATATAAATAATATCCTGAAAAGTTTTCTTTCAACTGTACAACACAACTTATACTATAATAAGTGTTTTTAAAAATTTTTGGTGTGCATTGTTTATGAGCCCGTTTTTTGAAAAGCATTGAATTTGATATTCTTTTGATCTACTTTTAGCAAATGAAAACAGAAGATACATAAATATTCTTCATCTTTAGATAAATTTAAAACTGCCAAAATATTTTAAGTAAAATTTGACTTCTACAATTTTTTTTACTTCTATTCACATATAATTTAGGATTATAAGTTTTACTAGTTTGTTTGTTTTTACCATCAGTAAACCATGCTTTGACATGTTTCCTACCTCTTTTTGATGCTAGCCATTGATCTGTATACCATGTGAGAGAATTAGGTAGAGGCCTAATACTCTCACATGGTATGATTGAATTGTTAAAAACTAATGGAGTGATTAGGTTATAATCAGAGATTTTGTTTGATACAATTGAATCTTTTATACTTCTGTCTGGCTGATTAGCCGGTATCTGAAAAAATCCTTTAAACTTTTTATTTGGTGGTTCTACTTGAACTGAATACGGTTGGCAGATTTCTTTATTTGAATCAGCATGTAAAGAAGATGGATTTGGGCAATCAGTTACATAATTAGGACAATAATCAGCATTAGTAACAATATCAGTGTTTAACGGGTAAATACCCATTGCAGAAAAATGACTCAAAATATTCTTAGGAGATACAGCCTTCAATTCAGCTTGTGATGTTGTACTTTTGAACGAGAACAAGCACTAACCAAGAATTTGAATAAGCAGTTTAAAAAACAATGCCCGCAGGAAAATGTGATAACATTTATTTTGTGGCAAGTATGTTAGAAAAAAGACACCTGTAAATTTACCCCAAAACCTGTGAATTTCTTATAGATAAAATCTCTCAAATAATCAAAAAACTTTTTAAATTCTCATTCAAAACACAATATAATAATTTCTGTTTAGAAAAAGAAAAACTCTATCAATGTGAATATCAACTTTTACATACCAATTACATATCAATGTGAATACAACTTTTACATACAAAACACATAAAAAAAAATATATTTTTTTCTACATACTAAAAAAAAAAAAAAAGGAAATAACTATGAAAATGTCTTTTTTTAATAAGGTTTCTGTTGCACAGAAATTTTGTGACAACCAACCCTGCTCTCCCCTAAGCTAATTTTTGATATTTATGTACAGTGGACAAAATAATTGTTTGTTCATTAATGAAAAAAATCTATATTTGATCAAAACAACATTTAAAAGTATTTAGATAGTTGAAATTAAGTGTTTTTAAAGTAATTTTAAGTGTATTAGTTAAAAATATATTAATATATGAAAAGTTATATAAGTTTATTTGAAAAGAGTTGAAAGTTTATACAAAAAAATTGTCCGTACACTATGTTAATTTTTAAATTAAAATTAGTTAAAATTAAATTAATATCTTGTTGGACCACCATCAGCTTCAATAACTGCTCTTCAACAATTTTTCATTGGTGAGACAAGTTTAGACGTAATTTCTTGATTAATTGATGACCAAACATCTAAAACCAATTCTTTTAGCTTGTTTTTATTCTTTGGAGCTCATTCTTTCATTCTTTTTTCCACCATCGACCATAAATGTTCTATAGGGTTTAAATCGGACGATTGTGCAACCCAATCCAACACGTTAATGCCATCAGCAGCAAGATATCTGGCTACAGATCCAGCTTTGTGCTTTGGATCGTTGTCATGTTGGAATATAAATTCTGTTCCAAGTCCTAATTTTCCTGCCGAAGCCACCGAATTCTGTACTAATATGGATCTATATAAGTGTTGATCCATTTTCTCCTCAATAAATTCAATTTTGCCAACACCGGACGCACTCATGCAGCCCCAAACCATAACATTTCCACCACCAAATTTAAATGTTGCCTTCAAACACTTCACATTATATTCTTCTCCGGCTCTTCTATAAACTTTTGCACCTACATCAGCTCCATATAAATTAAATTTACTATCGTCTGACCAAATAATCATATTCCAGAATGTATTATCCCTCAGAACAGGTTCTTTTGCCCACTGCAACCGTTTTCTCTTGTTCACTATGCTGATGAGTGGTTTCTCTCCGAGGCGTCCGTGCAAAAACATTGGCTTCATGCAGTCTGTTCCTAATTGTTTGTGGCATAATTTAATATTTAATTCATTTTCCAGCTCTTTTGATACTTCTGCGGCATTTTTTCTTCTATTCTGCTCGATTTTCACAACTATGCACCTGTTAACTCTTGGCGTTGTTGATCTTTTTCTGCCTCGTACACCATTATTTGCCACTGATTTTGTTTTTAAATACTTTTCCCATATATATTGAACAGAGCTTGGTGGTATTTTCAACATTTTTGCAACTTTTCTAATTGATAATCCATTTTCTCTATTAAAAATTACTCGTTTACGTAAGTCAATACTATATTCTTTTCTTTTTCCTTCCATTATAGCCACGTAGTTAAGAAAAGGTTTATTTTTATTTATTATAGTATTATTTAACCTAAAAGTACAAGATATTAATATAAAAATCATTTATAAACTAAATTTTACCTTTAAAATCAAATGTACAGACAATTTTTTGGTTTTAAATTTTTAAAACTTTTAGATAAGTTAATTATAATTTAAATTGTCGGGAGAAAATTAATGATGGTGTATCGTTTTTATTTGTTTTCTTGTGCGCTATCTATTGGTTTAATTTATTTTTTTCTATCATTTAAAGTTTTAGAGCTTTTTTCAAAAAACCTTATTTTTCATTAATATACTGACGATTATTTTGCCCACTGTATGTATGTATGTATGTATTAGGGGTGCACCAATGTCTACTTTTAATTGATGCCGATTGGTCTAGCTGATACGGTTGCATTAGCCATAAATTCAAAATTGTAATCATTTCTTTTTTAATAATAGGTTGTTCAGGAATTTTTTAAAAATATATTTGTCAATTTCAATGCTTGCTTATTTGCTAAAGTTAATTATATATATATATATATATATATATATATATATATATATATATATATATATATATATATATATATATATATATATATATATATATATATATATATATATATATATATATATATATATATATATATACATATATATATATATATATATATATATATATATATATATATATATATATATATATATATATATATATATATATATATATATATATATATATATATATATATATATATATATATATATATATATATATATCTATGTGTGTGTGTGTGTGTGTGTGTGTGTGTGTGTGTGTGTGTGTGTGTGTGTGTGTGTGTGTGTGTGTGTGTAATTTCTAACTATATTCTAGGAAATAAACTTAGAAATAAAATTAAATAAGAAATAAATTAACAATGAGCAAAGCAACTGAAAGTCTAATTTGTCTAAAAAGACTATTTTGATATAGATTAAAATGTTTCAAGCAATTTGTAAATTTTGCAAAATAAAAATATCAAGAAGTGGCAGAATTTTATTTTTATATTTTACATTACATTTTACATTTTTTGATTTTAAACTTTACTCTTTGTATAGTTTGGATCCATAAGTCATATAAGTGCTTTCCTAAATTATAAAAAGACACAAATGCAGGTAGCTCCTGATAAAAAACGGTTTAAAAAAAATTTATAAGTCTATATGATAACTTACGTTTATACATGCATTTTTGTTTGTGGAACAATATTTTTGCATACAAATTAGAAGCAGAAAAAGAAAAAACTGATTTTTCCAAACAATCAGCATCAGCCAATGGTTACCAAGTCCAATGTCGATGTATTGGCTAAATGGTCATGCTCACAATATAGTTCTTATTAGCATTGAATTAAATGCGTATTTAGATTCTAAATCTAAAATTACATCATTCTAAATCTAAAATTACACATAGGTACTTTTTTTTATTAATCTTAACAATTTTGAAAAGATTTTCTTTGTAAGATTTTGGATGCATTTATACAGTGTTTTCACAATCATCAAGATAGATATTTCTAATAAATATGATAGTATAATATTCGCATAATATATTATAAAAACATTAGAAAAAGATAAACAAT